TTAATGATCTACACAAACAAAAAAATGTTGTGAACTTCCGTTCTGAAGTTAGAAACGGTAAATGTGTAGTCAATGCATAAAATAGCGTGAAAAATGATAGAATAATTAATTTAAAACTAAACATTCAGTATATCTTATCAACTAATAAACAAAACTTATGCTTAACCTTATTTATAAAATGCCCTGGTACGGCCGAGGGTGTGAAAAGTCAGCTATCCCTTTTGAAATGCTCGCACATGACCACGCATATACAAACACTGCCATGGAAGTCCTACTCAATACATTTTCGCTACACCGGTGTTGTTTACGAAAGTGACAGGACGTTAGATCCTTTAACCAGTTCGGTGGACACAGGAGGTTCACCTGGGGTAGTTGGGCAACCCTGATTCCAAACCAATGGTGTACATGGGCTCCAGGACCCTGAGGGAACAAATAGAGTATGAACCGATTATTGTCAACGGCTACCATGAGACTGCATCTTCTTACATTGCTCCACTTCCTTGTGGATTAGACTTTTAGATGGAAGGCTTCAAGTGCGGTCCCCTAAGAAAACCATCTACTTCGGCTTGGGCACACGGGCAGCATCACAACCCATCCACAAATCAAGTGACTTGTGTGGCACATATGTATCCGGTGGTTATTTGTACCAATATCTATCAGTTCAAATAAATGAATATTATTTTCTTATGATCTCTCTTAATATTCCTATGTCTCACTAAGATACAATATATTTCTCCTAACATATTATATGGAGACGTTATGTGTTGTTTAGATTATTGATACAGCCAAACTGCCCTTAGTGAAATTCAGTAAATTATGAAAATTTTCCGACTCTTAAGGCTTCATGTTCACAAAACTCTCATCCTAATCAATGATAGTCAGATTATCTGGAAGCGATCACTATTTATGGGAGGAAAGATTCGTGGTATTTATACCCTTTCAAGCATTAAATTATAATGTATCGCAACAGATATTTGATGTATTCAGCCTTGCATCTTTTTAGTTGATTTTGTAAGATGGTTGGTACATTGGATTATCACAGCAGACGAACGGAGATAGTATAAGGTGTTGGTTGCAGGTAGTCGACAGGAAACCCTGTTTTATTTGGTTGGAGGTAGTCGACCAACCATCTGACATCTTAACGCAGTGCACGTGATATCAAGGCGGTTAGACTAGTGACCGAATTGCAACTTAATGGAAAGAATTCGGACAGCACCAAGATAGATTTAAAATATATTATACTGATCACTGTTAAGTGACCAATCATTTTTTAAAAGTGAGACAATATTAGAGTAGTTGATTAAATTTTCATTAGTTACATGTTGGTGAAACACAACGAATGAAATCGCTAATGAAATTTATTTTGGAACTGACTGCCAAAAGATCTAGTTGCATCGATTTTGTTTGTATTAACAGTGACTGAAAATGTACACATTCATGAGGTAAATCTACATTAGAAAATGAAATGTTGACATCATTAGAGACTCATACGAATAATTTAGAGCATGAAAACATAATTTATTTAGTTACTGGACTTGTACGTCTCTCTTCTGTTGACAAAGACCTTTTGTCATAAATTGTATTGAACAAATGAAACCATCAAAAATTAGAGACCAGTAACTTATTCCTATTTATTCCACTGACGGATTCATCAACTTCAGCAGTGAGCACTGCTGAGGAGTCCCGTCCTAGGACGAAACGGAAGTCCAGTGCTTTCAGGTTTTTCATATTGGTCTAGCTTGAACCAACTTATGAATTCAACCATCAATATAATACAATCTCTACAAAACTTTCTGATAACTTCATAAATGTTTACTGCCGTAAATTTTTAAATCAAGCCATAATAACAATAATATCTCTGGTGATTCATTTGTTATCTTTGAGAATGGATTTTAAGTAGAAAACTTAGTAAATATTTGTAATTCAACTGCTAGATTTCTGACAATGGTGTTCTCCTAACCATAAACGTTCTCGGATTATCTTCCAATACATATGCATATTACAAGTATTAGTTAAACCTGATAGTCATATTTCATTATTTCTTCTTAGGATTATGTATATTACGATGTTACTTTACTGGAGAAGCAAATTATTCTGGTGAAAAGCCTATTCCTTCTTGGATAACACTTCCATTGAGTGGCGGGGTGTTACATCAATAATTCAGTTTAATGGGCAGTTAAACGTTATTCATTATAAACTGTCAACCGTTCACAGATCTATTCATCTTTTATAAGAATTAAAAGTCTATTATCACAAATCCTGAAATATCAGTCAGTCACAACGTAGAACTCCGTACGTACATCAGATCGAGTTGGTAGAACACAAAGAGTGGATGTACCTTCGCCATTGCAAACGATTTTCAGCCATGTCATTCAAGGTCTATAACCATCAATTGCTATCATCTCTAGGATACCAACCAGGTAGTCTACACCTACCAACATGGCTCAGTCCACTTGTCAGTGACTTCATGGATTTGTGCCACATTTTGGGGTGGCCGCCCCTACCTTTCTTCCAACCTACTCCTACACCCACTCCTACATCCTGAAATATATGTATCCATGATACATCACATATACTTTTTATTCGTAAATCATTTAATTCAGTTTGAAATATCGACAGTAATTGAGCAGATTATGATTAATTATTCATTCTAATTTACTGTTCTCCGTTATGACAGTATTTAATAGAAACAAAACTAAAATCATAATCCAGAAAAATATCTTACGCCTGAAGTCTTTAAAATGGTTTATCAAATAGAATTGAAATGAGATTAACTGAAACGATAACACAGTTAAGAATAATAATAAAACAATCAGACAAGAATATTAGTACAACAATATATTTAGAGAATGGATCTTCTTTTCAATTCGTCTTACTGAAAGAACTTATTAGAAGACTATTGGAGTTTGTCATTTTTCACTATTGAGAGATCGATTTCTTGTGAAATGAGCTTTCTATATGGTTGCCACCATTATTGCTTCTGATTACACTTGAACTGGAATTACTAGAACATACTAGTAGAGGTAATCCTCATCTTGTATGTGATTCGTTAAGAGACGTTAGTTTGTAAAAGAAGCCAATGTTTCGATGAACGATAGATTAAACCAGTTATCATCGTTATGATATTGAAACTAGCGTGGATCTTTCAGACACTTTTTCCAATTTGTATATGATATTTACCACAGCTTGATATCAATTTGAGTACCACTTAAAAGCTGTTTCGTCACAGAATGGGTTTTTTCAGTAGTATGCACCGATGATATCAGCTACAATCAAACCTAAGATCAATAAACCGTTTGACACGACCATCATTCAATACCATCGACGATATATATGTCAATTCTAGTATGGTTCAGAATCGATCACAATGACGTAGGTATATACACTCTTTGTCTTCCCTTAAACTTTGAGAATAAATTACTCTATACCTTTCTTCGAACAAATTATTTCCTCCTGTATTGTATCCTTATATGCAATCTTTCTTTTATATAGTGCTACTGTAGTGAATGAGAACACAGGTGAGGACAAGCAATTATGTACTAAACACAAATTACAAAGTTTCTTGATAAAATACAAAAACCATATTCTGATACACTATTTTCAAAATGTTTATTAATTGCCTCAGCCTTCATTGTTCCTGGATTTCCACACCAATTGCTCTCCCAATCTTCTGCTACTAGATATTCTGTTCCTCACTCACGATATATACTACTTATGTCGATATAAGTAGCCCACACCACACTACTATTAAATTAACTGGTATCAATTTGGTGTTCATCTTATTGTGCTAATGAGATGTGGAAACATGGACTGATGCATATTTGTGCCTGGTCCATCGTTGTAACTGACTGACTGACAATTCCAATATGATTGAACGCTTCATAAATTTAGTCATTCATCTCGAATAACGTCAAACATTAATAGAATTAGGATAGGCTGAGTTTAGTTTTGATCATGAACCAACGTAGCAGACTGATTGATACACTAATTATTTAATGCATAAAATTTTTTATGAAAATCAGCTGCACATCACTCACTTTATGCACGTACGAATGGAAAATTGTTTAAGAAATTGTGTTGTTGAAGTTATCATTTATTAGGCTGGAATAATGTATGTCAACCGAACTAATCAGCTGTAAAAACTGAATTTCTAGACAATCGATTTTATCATTATTCAATAAATCAATATTCGATAGTGAGTAGACAATAGAATTTCAGAAGAATTCCTATGAACCAGTGAAATTTTAAAATTATTATCACATTAATTCAACATTGATTTAGTTTTCAATTTACAAAGTACGAAAAAAAGCTGTGCAGTATCAAAAATTTGATCATACGAAATGAAATGACAGAGTTGTGAAGAAATAAACGGGAAAGTTATTCAGGAATTGTAATAAAATCTTTAGTGCCATTAAGTTTTCATGATGAGGACCTGTGGAGATTGTGGTATGTTCGTAGTTCAATTCATGAGTTGATGTAAACTAGACCAACACTGAAAGCTCGGAAGCAGTGGACCACCGTTTCTTCCTAGTATGAAACTCCTCAGCAGTGCTCATCCACGATCTCACAAGCGGAACTCAGTGGTTCAGAGGTTAAACGTTCATCAACGAGACAGAAGTTCCCATGTTCGCGTTCAGCGTGCTGGATTTTGGATGTGTACCGCTCAAGAGTTCCATACTAGGACAAAACTGCCGTCCAGTGCTTCCAGGTGCTCAGTGGTGGTCTAGCTTAGATAAACTCCTGAACTCAACTTTGAATATTTGGGTTAGTGTTATATCCCCTGGTGAATTATGAATGGTAACTCTAAGGTCTATTTATCGACAAATGTATTATGCCTATTTCCTATTGTACAATTATTACGTAACTAAACTATTCATATTTGTGTTTCTCTTATCATGAGCTTTATTTTGATCTTTGATTTATTATCATACGTTTCTTGAGTTATACTCAGTTATTGATTACTTTGGTTTGTATAAAAACCCATTATGTTTGTAAATAATGATTCATACCACTGAGGCTGTTATTGGTGTTTTGGACTTAATTGGCTGGGCTAGGCAGATCGCAGGACCGGTTAGCACTCTAGGCTGCTCGTACGGGTTTCGTGTCACTGTTCAACCGATAATTCGCCCATCCACCCATCCACTCGTCCACAAGATATAACAATTAGCGACGGGGACAAAATAAGGTCAGTTTGTAATTGTTCGAAAATCAGGCAATCATTTGGTGCAATCAGCATCCAACATTCTCTTTGGTGTCCGTGAATGCCATTTTGTCATTATTCATACAGTGAAAAATGACGCTCCCTTCCGACCGATTACAGTTGCTATTTGACCGACATTTGGAGTTCATGGTCAAACTACGCACACAGCTTCTGGACCACCAATTCTTTGCATATGCGTCGGAAGTGGATGTATTAATCACAGAATTTCACGCAAAGCCTGAAAATGATCGCAGCCTCCATGAATCCTCGACCAACCGCAACTCAAACGAAACAGCAGTCTCGCAGAAGACGCCCGGTTATCCATCACTACCCATTTCAGAAACGTGCCCGGTAGTGGATTCAAACCCCACTATCCCTGAATTAGCAGGTCCGAACAGTGACGCTTTGAGCTCTCATCAACTTGATGCCATGTCAAATGCCCATGAAATGGTCGTACTAACCGCCCAAAAAGTACCAGACATAATATCGAGCAGTACACGGAGCGAATCGCATTCTGCAATAGAAATTTTTACCGAATCTAATGATAAAGATTCCCAAGCTTGTCCAGAAAATTTGTTACATGCATCAAATCTGGAACCTAGCGCAGTTTTGGTGGACGCTGTTTATCATAGTGATCCACAACCTGCCAGTGATGTTTGCAATAAGTCTAATGACTACATTTCTGCAGAATCAAATTCTGACCTCACATCAAATGTCGATCCTCACCATCCGGTCAATCTTAGCAGGTTCCCTATTGAATGCCAGAAACATGTTATAAATAGAATCGCATTAATAGAAACTTGGGTATATGAGGATCCATCACTATTTCGTGGGGGAGGAGGAGCTCGGATTTCTCAAAAAGGGGAGGTGTTATATCCCCTGGTGAATTATGAATGGTAACTCTAAGGTCTATTTATCGACAAATGTATTATGCCTATTTCCTATTGTACAATTATTACGTAACTAAACTATTCATATTTGTGTTTCTCTTATCATGAGCTTTATTTTGATCTTTGATTTATTATCATACGTTTCTTGAGTTATACTCAGTTATTGATTACTTTGGTTTGTATAAAAACCCATTATGTTTGTAAATAATGATTCATACCACTGAGGCTGTTATTGGTGTTTTGGACTTAATTGGCTGGGCTAGGCAGATCGCAGGACCGGTTAGCACTCTAGGCTGCTCGTACGGGTTTCGTGTCACTGTTCCAATCGAGAATTCGCTCTCCCTAATTGGCGGTCTCATCAAGTCATACATCAACAAGCCATCCACTCGTCCACAAGATATAACAGTTAGACATTACTCTGTTATTTTAAAGTGTTAATAACTTTATGGTACAATAACTAAAAAATGTGAAAAAACTCACAAGTCACTGGATATTTAAGATTCGCTTTTTGCATAGTCATCATGAAACAACGAGTGTTAGCTTAGTACATCACAAAGTGATAATCTAATCATTTGTAAACTTATTTCACCGAATGGTAAGAAACAGTAACTGACATGAAAGTTGACGAAGCATTATGTGTACGGTTTGAATAAGGTGAATGTTTTATGCAGGTACTGCTGACTGAAAATTCATCTTATAATGTTGAAAATCTGTATTTGGAACAGGGCATTGCCACTGAATGATGGGAATTTATGAACAATAATGAATTTCGGATAAAGTCAATTAGAAAAATCTGGTTTTCTCAAATATGTAGTAGAACTCTATTCTCATTTGAATGTTATACATCAGATATTTTACTGACAGATTATTATCGCGACAGCATTAAAGGCGGTTGCAATTGACTGAAGTCACTTGTATGGTCTCTATTAGCAGATCTATCTCAAATGTCACACTCTTACTCATACAATTCTACGTAGAGTCATAAATATTTTCGTTATCAATAAATAATTAGTATACTGAATCGACTTCAGCTGTTGCAGTAATCAGTGAAAGCATTAAGTAATGGATCATATTTTTGGATATATTCTAAAATGATTATGTTGAAAAAGAAAATGCCAACTGAATTCTCCGCATATTTAAAATATAAATAGCTGTTCATTAGTAGTAAGCATTAGGCTAATGTGTGTATTGTATGTTCGACTGCCTTTTAGTCAAACAGTCTATAGCGACTTAATCCATATTCCCTAAACCGTTATAATGAAAATTCTAAGTATGATCTTCACAAATTTGTCGTTTTATGGTGTAATAACTACAATAGTTACACATTAACACTGTGTTATTAACCAATCTTGAAGAAAACAGACCAATATACATAAATTTCCGTGAACGTTTTGACAGCTAATCCATATCATATTTTAAAGCTATCAATATTGGAAATATTCATCTAGAAGTTGATTCAAAGAACATAATTATACCCGGTTTGGTTATTACAAAAATACTCCGGTAGAAATAAACCTCAAAATGGTAACTAATCTAAAGAATAATTACAAATAATTAACAAGCAACTGAAACAATGTAATAAGCACATCCTGAGATGATTTTAAAAAATTCTAATCGGTATGGATAGCTTTCATTCCTTATTTCATTCAGATGTTCAATGGAAAATGGGAATATAACTAGATTTCAAATTATATCAATTCATAAGAATGACGCTGTGATGAATCTAATTTCTATATGTGTATCAGTGAATAAATGCTAATTAGATTATACATTTACTTTACGTATTTACCTTAAGAAAAATTTAAATGATAATCTTCACATTGATCTACTTAACACTGAAGTCACATTAATGATTAAAAAAAGCCGCAGTAAAATGAATATTTTCTTTAAATAAATAAAAAACTAGTATTGAAGGCAAAACAAAACAGGAGACAAAAAAATTGAAAGACTCTCCATACGATGTGTTACGTCAATGTCATTTACAACAATGGATCAGTAAACAGAAAGATTGAACATTAACTATACGTATTAAGTGGTAGAATCACATGATAGATGAGTGTACATAAGAAAAGAATACAAGAAAAATATACTTATATCACACACATATCTATGTCTGTTTGAAAAAATAAGTAATATACTACTGATAATCATAATAGTGATCTGTATAGATAAATAATAGAATTTACATAGAAACAATTTATAGATCAACAATTGTTTATATGTCAGATATACTATTTATATGATATGGATATTTATTCATTTCAATGAAATAATCTTCCAAATTTAATAAACCATTGATATATTCCTGAAAATAAAAAATAAGGCATGATCAATGAAAGAGGGAATGAGCATAGTAGTTGATAACTTAGTAGTAGAATAAAATTATTATTGGTAAGCAAAGATGGTTAGTGGCTAGCAGTGGAATCCAGGACGCGCGTTTCGCCCTATTTGGGACTCGTCAGCTGGATGTGCCTGCATCTCAGAGTTGATGTTCACTCTGGGATTCGAACCCAGTAACCTTCAGGACTCAGTGGCTGAGTGGATAACGCGATGCGTTTGAAGCGAAAGATACTGGGTTCGAGTCCCAGAGTGAACATCAACTCTGAGATGCAGGTACATCCAGCTGATGATTCCCAAATAGAACGAAACGCGCGTCAAACTGGATTCCACTGCTAGTCACTATCCATCTTTGCTGACCATGATTGTGAATTTAGGCTATATCGAGGCAATACGCACAGTATGCACATATGCCAATTAGAGACTGATCAGTTGTAGTCCTAAGCATCAATGGGAAGATTCAAACACACAATACTAAGTGAATTTTAAAATTATTATTATTGGTGGTGGTGGTGATACTAAATAGTGTGATTGTGTTTTCATACCGATGTAATTTGACCTTTTTGAAGAAAGAAGTGGTTGTTAGCGTTTAACCAATCTTCTTTTTTTTAAGGATTACTATAAACAAGTGAATAATGTTGAGGTTAGATGAACAGGTGATAAATTAATGAGTAAGGTTATGAAATTAAATCAATTCAAGTTGTTAAAATATGTGTTAAACACTCATATGCAGTATCTAATCTGTAATTTTATGCTAATTAGGATAGAAATAAGTTAGAAGAGGCTACATCAAGACAAAATTCTATTCATTAATGACAACATCAACTGATATGAAAAGGACGAGAAAAAGTTTTTAATGAGTAAAAAAACTTGGTAAACTTTCACAATGCTCAGTGTCGTGTGAGTTGAGTATTCAAAAATATATCAGATTTTATCAAAAAAATGTGAAACATGAAAGTTTTCAAAGGTCAGGTGAACCATTTTGAGGAAAACACTGATGTGATATATTGTTTGAATAGATCTATTTGAACGACGTTACATGTAATAAACTGTCATATAAACCATCATAGTCTTCATTTGCATGTTTGCATATGAAGAATTTGTTAGTACGCTTAACCGATTCAATGTGTGCAAATCAGTTTAGCTAATGATGCGGCAACTTATTTACCGAATTTTATGCTTTGTTGCACTACACGAAGTATATCAGAACAGTTTAGAAAAAGTGAACATAGACAATAGAAATTCTGTATTCTCCAAAATCATGAAATCCAGCCGTACATTATCTATTGAATAATATGTTTTAAAGGTTTAACAAGATAACCGACGTTCAACTGTTTAAACAAAAATTCAAGTCACACTTCTATTGGGCTATTTTGTAACTTGTACAGAGAAATGTCGTAAACTTTTTATAAACGCACCTGAGTAGGTGATGAGACTAATAGGCATATTGATGTGTTAAGACAAACAAGAAAATAGATAATATGTTGAAATCTCCAGATAGCAAGAACAAGTAGCCCAGATATTCAAGCAGGCCTTTTAGCGAAGAATTTCTGAATTGAATTAATGATTACTTTCTAATAATTTTATTCAAATGAGTTTATGTTACATTTAAATAATTTAGGTTAAAATTGATTTGAAGATTAACTAACTAACTAACTAATGAACTCTCATGGCTTGTTGAATAATAAGAGTATTTAAGTGTACACGTAAATTAGCATTTACATTGATTGATATAAACGATTACATGATTAAATCACTCTTCATATAACATAAATATTTTGATAAATTTAATCGAAAACTTATATAAATAACGTGTGTTGATTGATTCACATATTTGATAGACAGAATAGTGAAGTATTTTATAGTTTAACTCCCTAGTAGTAAGCACAGGATGACTGTTATCATAAGATGTTAAATTTGAAATCTCAAATTATTATTATTTAAACACATAAATATTGGTACAAAGAAGCACCAGATAAATATGCACCGAATTAATCTCATTTGATTTGTGTGAGGACTGTGATACTGCCCAGGTGCAAAAACTGAAACAGGTGGTTTTCTTAAGGGGCAACGACCGGAGCCTTTTGACCTAAAGATTTGATCCACAAGACAGTGGAGCATCGTGAGGAGATGCACTCCCATAGTAGCCGGTGACCAACGATTGATTCATACACCATTTGTTTCCTCAGGATACTGGAGCCCGTGTGCACCATTGGTTTGGAATCAGGGTTTGCCAACTCCCCTAGGTAAACTTTCCGTGTCTACCAATCCGGTTAAAGCGCCGGATATTCGCTTTTCGTTCTCTCAATTTCGTAAACAACACCGGTTCCACGAGAAGGCAGTGAGTAAGACTTCCCTGGCAGAGGCTATATACGCGTGGCCATGTGAGAGCATTTTGAGGGGGAGAGAGGACTCTCCCCACTCTCGGCCGTACCAGGGCATTTGGGGAGGGGTCTCAAATTACGGAGTGACATTGGATAAGAAAAAGAGAATTCAGCGAAGAAATTTTCTTTTTCGACGAAATCATTTACTTAAACTGTACATTCGTATATATGTCTATAGGAGGCTAAGAAAGATTGGATTATAAATTGATTCGATAATAAATAACAAATGAGATTAAGTACTAATCAAGGGGTAAGGAAGATAATAATTTATCGGTCAGTCAGATAATAGTCCAATTGACAGATATGAAGAAAAGCGACAAGCACAAAGTTCATAATAATATTAATTATCAGAAGGGGTTTTGTGGAGATTTAGTATTTCCATAGTTGAAAGCGTGAGTCAATTGAAGCTAGACCACCATGGAAAACCTGGAAGCACTGGAGGGCCGTTTCGTCCTATTATGATAACAATAGATTGAATAATAATCAAGAAAACTTGTATAAGGTAATAATAATAACTAATTAGAGTTAAAAATGCAAAACAGTAGGTTAGCACGTACCTCATTTGTTGGTTATCCTCGAATCAATTTATAATGCAATCTTTCCTAGCCTCCTATAACTATACACTTTCTACATAACTATATATACGAATATACAACTTCAGTAAGTGATTTTGTCGAAAAGAAAATTTTCTTCGCTGAATTCTCTTTTTCTTATTCAATGAAACTATGGGTTATTTTAAGTATCAGAGTGACATTGATTAGATAACTACTGGAGAAAAAGAAACACTGGACAGCTATTTCGTTTCAGTATGAGGCTCGTCTGAAGTGTGTATTCACGACTCTACCATTTTAAATGATAATAACAATAACCAAGTAAAATAACTAATAACGTAAATAAAAACGTACATATGATGGGACTGGAGGTCCAGTCCCGTTTAAACCACCATTACACGGGAGTAGATGGGGAGGAATTGCAGCATGAAGACTTTCTAACGATGTATTGTGCATAACAACCTGTGATTACGTAATAGATAGCAAGCATTAGTCTCGTGATACAAGTAAACAAATTTATATTTATTTCCTTTAAAAAAGTTTACAGAACAAAAAATCACCTATTTGTACAATTTCAGGTTATGAAAATTAAGAAATTTACGAGAATAAGCGTTTTATTTTATAATTAGTCGTAATATCCAACTATGGAAAACAACAAGTCAGATCCCAGCGGAGGAAGAAATCAGGAAGAAGCGCTGGAAGTGGATAGGAAACACATTGAGGAAAGCACCCAACTGAGTCACAAGGCAAGGATTGACTTGGGATCCTTAAGGCCAAAGGAGAAGAGGAATACCAAAGAACACATTAGGCCGAGAAATGGAGATAGACGTAAGAATAACCAAAAATTGGATAGAACTAGAAAGGAAGACCCATGAGAGAGTGGGTTGGAGAATGTTGATCGGCGGTTTAGGCTCCATGGGGATAACAAGCGTAAGTAAACATAATTTCTAACTCAGGTGCAAAACCTGTATACAGTACTAATGGATTTACTGATTCATACGAATAATTTTTCATTAGACAATATACTACTCAACTGTTATCATTATTCACAAAATTCTCTAAGTGAATCAAACTTCATGTAATCGACTTCAAATTGTAATTTATGTGTAAAAAGCTGACGATATTAATCGGATGCTAAAATCCAAGTCGGTAAAGTGAAGTTTAAACCTTTGACTAAAAGTTAATTGAACTTAGCAACTACTCATCGACTATTTGCGGTATATGAAAACTCCATATCGTGTTACTCGGTAGTAATAAACAGAAGGTAACAACTTCAGTTAATGATGAATCAATACTTTTCTTTTAAAGAATTCATTCATGTATTCTGAGAAAGTACATTGTAAAATAATGAATTTTAAGAAAAAAGAAAAAAACATTGTGAAACATTTGCATTTTTTAAAATTTACAACAATAACCATTGTGAACAGAATGATTTATAAGCTGAAAAGTGTATTTAATAACTAAAAACTATATTGAAATCATTCAAAAAATAGAATAGATTACAGAGTATTACATAATATCATTTTCTTGAAATACTGTTCATATTGTTTATTATGGCTTAGATACACGATAACTGTAAAACTTTAGACCAACTGAATGTGGCAGAACTATTAAGTGTATATTGCAGGTTGACAAATTATTGATCAATCAAGAAATATAACGGTTAGTGATAGAGTGACAGTTAAAGTTTGAAACGACTTCGTTTTAAATTGTTAAGTTTCATACCAAACAAACATTAACCACAAAAGTGAATAAATATAATTGATAATAACATTCGTAGTGATGATAGACAGTAAGGTTCAAAAGGAAAGAGGCAAGTTACCTGAAGTCTTCAACTTAAGACAATCTTGCGAGTCTAACATTCCCAACGTAAATTAATCAATAACATCATTAGATGGTGTTGTCTTATATTCGATCCACATCCAAACTTCAATCCGTTTTCATGCTACGTAGCATTAAATCTTCGATTAAGAGGTAAGAGGATAAGGATTAATAAAAAAGAACAATTTTTGAAGAATATACTTGGTCGCTTGTTCACAGGAGCTTGTGTTAGGAAATGCACTATTTCCCAAAACATTCGACCCGTTTTACAAATAGTAATTTTAATTCCCAAACCCTGTGAGCACAGATGAATGTAGTTGTATGGAACTGGAATTATCTGTAGTTATTCCTCGAGAAAAACCTAAAAGCAAATCGGTAACTGCCCTAATGGTTTCCATATATTGCCGCTGGTTGAAGTAAAACTGAAAAGTGTGGTTTTATTTTTATTCTTAATATTTAGCAGCTAAATCAAGAATGATTAGGAGTATAGTTCGAACTCAGAACATATATATATATATATATATATATATATATATATATATATATATATAACTTACACGTGCTTGATTTTTTGGTTTTAACAAAGGCATTAATGCTGAATATATTTTAGAAAACATGTAAGGACTATTGAAAATATGAACAGCTTTTACTCGTACAGGACTTGAACCTTGTAAAAAATGTACTGCTCGATGTAGAAACCAAGGAGACATTAAATTAATGGCATGTCTCCAGGAAAAGCCTGATAGGTCCACTAGAATTATTACTCCATGCACTTGCACGGCTGGCCAAGACTAAACAGAAAACAAGAGAGATGAAATGACATATAGGCATGTAACAGAAAATGTATAAAAATACAAATGATGTTTTCTCTTACAAATTGTTTGACTACACGGTAATTAAGATGACTAATTATTGAAAAACGAAGTACTCCCCCAAAGTCCAACCGGAATCAGTTGGTAAAGATGTTCTTAAAGTCATCGTTTCGAAACTTTTAAACCGTGCGCTTGAACTTGAAAACTAAGTGACGCGGAAGTGGTATATTAAGCATTCTTCAGCATTTTTTATAAATATCCACATATCATAGTCGATTTGAAATGTGATAAACTACAGCGATTTTCTTTGTCATCTCTAGTGCTTTAAAATGGAATTACGGTAATTTAGTTAGATTGATAGATATATCCGTTGTATTTCGTGTACTTTCTGACCGTAGCCGCGACCTTGATGTGGTGGTCAGACTTGTCTGTCTTGATGAATCGACCGAGCTACATTGGCTAGAACACATGTTTCTTTACGTCCCACTATGCCAGGAAGGCTGACCCTCAGAAACCGTCTATTTTTGTCAACCATCAACTTCAAGAAAAACATCGTCTGACGTCGCGACCTCCACAATCGACTCATCGATGGACTCAAATAGATCAGATTGTCACTAGATATTGTTGGAGGGATTCTACTGAAGACTGACGTTCATTCTAGAGCACACGTTTAGACTCGAGCAATAACCTCGTTTGAGCACGCATCTTTCTGGGTCTTACTGGATGTAGAAAAGTGATGAAAAGACTAATAATATATTTCAGGAACACCCAAAGAAGGAGTTAGTCAACCGCCAAAATGATATCCACTCCGAGTTAGCTTGGTATGATATCCAAAAAGCTGTGAAAACAGCAGTGATACCCGCTAGTAACTTAAACCAAAAAGTGCTAGGAAACGAACACTAGATCTCAGTGGCGTCTACAGAACTGATACATGATGGACAACTCATCTCGTTTGGCTCTGAACTCAATGGGAGGCGGAGGAAGCCTAAACGTAATAATAGTTCTGTTTAGTGAAGAAACTGACAAGATGTGGTCTTCTGACAACCTTAATCAACTAAGCACCCATATTCGGGATACGCTTCTCTCCCTCCAAACAAAAAATGTTAATTCCGGATTCGTTTGCGTCATCATCTGAATTAGCGATAGGGAGTAAAGTAGTTGAACGCATCGACAGCCTCATCTGCTTTAGGAGCCTCATCATTCCTGATGGTCTGGTGTCTGACATAATCTCAGCACGAATTCAAGAGGCTCGATTGGCTTTTGCCAACTTGCGTCGCTGGTGGCGAAGGCGAGATAGCTTTCTGCCAAGTAAACGACGAGTTTACTGTGTATCAATGTATTGCGTTATCCTTTATGGATGTGAGACATGGACATTAAGAGAAGAGGATACTCGTACGTTGATAGTATTCAATCACAGGTGTTTGCGAAGCACTGTTTATGAGTTTCTGGACCATGGAGTAAGCAATACCTGAGTTAAGAATAGAGAAATAAGTAAAGATTGTAAATCGATTGATGAGGTAGTAAATTTTCACCAACTGAGGCGGTTGGGAAATATATTACATATGCCCGACTGCCGCCTTTCTCAACGTGCGATGTTTTATGGAGCAGAAGCAGTTTGAAAGAAAGCTGAGAACGGCCAAACTAAAAAGTAGCATCCGCTCATGAAGTCACTGATATTTCAACTTAGCCAAGTTAATAAGTATAGACTGTTTGGTTGGGGTACGCGTGATTATGGTAACCAATAGTTAGAGATTTTGAACGACATGGCTCAAAATCGTATGCAATGGTGCAGGTGCATCTGTTCATTGTCTTCCCCCGAATCTGGGGATTTTAAATTCCTCACGACTTATTTTTGTTTTTATTTCGCCAATTTAGATTTTGTTCTCGAATCTTACCCTTGATGCTTAATCTTTCCTATCAGCTTTGATACTGTTATAACCCCTGCTATTCTGGGATTTGGCCTGATAACGTCTCTTTCTGCTAGTGGAGCAACTTGAACCGATATACATACGTACCAGGTTCTACATTGTGACTAACTGACTGTCTGTTTCCTTTACTTTATCATATCTGATTACCAGATTATGTAACGGAGTCAGCACGTGATACCAAGTAACCTATATATACATATTCCAGCAAAATCGAAAAGAGATATGTATACACAACTATCATTAACAGTATTAGTTTATATTAACCAGTCAGTATTTTTAGTAATTAGCGTAAGAGGCAATTGTATTTATTGTTGGTGGAGTTTTGCTCACTGAGTTCAATGGTTTGGTCGTGATAAGAATAGGTTAGAAGTTAGAAATAACCAATCAAGATCGAGATGAACGGGACAAGTTGTAAGTCATATGTGGAGAAATCCGAATACTTAACTTCTGCCTGAAGTTTGTGCTAGTGATATTGTTCACAAGAACAATGAAAGCTCCATGACCACACCATGCAGCTCGAAGAAAGAAACTTCATCAAAATCATCCACCTGAGCTATAAATCTCCGTCATCAAATAGACACCATAATCGATGAATCTTTTGCAGGCGACTAAAGTGTTTTTGATACATTCAGTCAAAGAGATTAAGTATGCAACCATTTATACACGTGGTTGCAAAGTATTCCACCACTCTATTCTTAACTATTAATCCTAACGTCTAACTGAAGCTTCTAATCCGAAAGTTAGCGCTTTTTGAGTTTTAATGAAAGGAAATATTCGTTCATATAAACAGTATTATGACTGACTACATATTGGATTTTCTTTTGCAAGGTGATTCGACGATTGTTGAAGGCCATCGGTAAAGCATACTGTCATCAGAAACACCACATTTTGTTTTCCAATAAAAAAGACCATCAACAGAGGATTAGTAAACAAAACACATTTAACTAATAAAATAACCAGCACAGTAGTTACATGTTGGTTGAAATGATTAGTAACAAATTACGAACACATATTACGTAACAATACAACAAATTATGTGCATGGGGTCAAGAAAGTAAAAATAGATCATACAACATCAATGTGAGTAGATGATAACGTAAAATTGTTTTAATATCCTAAATAAAACTAAACAAGAAATCAGTACTGGATTCAACTATAGCTCAAGGGAAACAATACTAGGAAGGACAATCCAACAGGGACATAAGCATAGTCACAATTGATTGATCACTGGGTGGTGATCAATCTCATGCGTGTCAGGTCCTTCTTAGTGCTGATCGAATGCTATCGATCGGCACTAAGAAGGACCTGACACGCATGAGATTGATCACCACCCAGTGATCAATCAATTGTGATTACATCTCAGTCCTACAGGAGGTTGGTCGCGGCCCGAATAGCTCAGTGGTAACGTCTCTGACTGTGAAGATGAGTGACGCGGGATCGAATCCGCCAGGGAGCATCAGTTCCCTCAGGATTACAGGTACGCCTTACTGACGAGTGCCAAGTAGCACGAAATTCGGGTCCAGGGTTTCCTGTTGACCACCTCCAACCACCATCTTACCTCAACATAAGCATAGTGTTAAACAGGATAGATTTCAAATTTTAATTTAATCTCGATCGATGTTACATTTGATTTAAATGCATCAAATCACATGTTCTTCCTAAAGAATTCATTAAGCTACAATTCGTTAAGAAAATACATAGTTTTGTAACGGAGATTAAGTCACATGGTTTAGTGCGAAAACCAGTGGATACTTGTCCTGCTAGGCAAGCCAAAGTGAGTGAAGTTGTGGTTCTATCTGAGATGCTGGCTGTGATTGTTTGTTGTTGATGATTGTGCCTTAGCTGTCTGTGTATATAAATATTATGATTACCTTCACATTGATATAAGGGGATTATGGAGATTGAGTATTTCACAGTTTAAACAGAGGACTGGTTTTATCATGATAAATTAGAACTTACATTAGTGATACACTGACATATAGTTAGCCCAAAGACATTATGAGCTTAACGTAGCGACATACTGAGAACTGCATGTATATACCTCTAATAAGGAGAATATATAAATAATTACTACATGTAATGAACTATAAAATACTAAAGTATAATAATACTGCGAACTTACCAATAATAATTCTTCAATAACAAGTACATTAGCACGAAATATGTCATTTGTTGACCATTCTGCAGGATTCCATAAACCTGGTCTAAAGTAGATAAGTGCTCTACCTTCTGAATCTGGCTGAGGCAATCGACATACAACTCCACTTTGAAATACATGTTCAACTAATGATGGTCTTAAATCATTGAATATATCTGGATAGCGTAATCTTAATATATAATAATTTGTATACAATCTCAATGCATTATCCTGATTAAATTTTTTAGCACGTAGAAAACGCAGGAGGAATTCATCAGCCAAACATCCTTGTAAACCTAATGGAAAAAACATCAAAAAGTATGGCTTTGGAGAATCGCGTGATACTTCTGTTCCTTTACCAACAAATATAAGAAATTTCCTTTTATATTCCCCAGTCACCATCACACCAGTTAATCCAATAGCGGAATTCATAGTATATAAGATACTGTTGATATAGAGAGCCAATCAGAAGTATTCTGATGAGAACGTCAATCGATGGCAATCAGGGGTGACCTTAAGGACAGGTGAATTTCACTGACTAAGAAATGGGTGGGTTTCCTAAGAACTAGAGTTATATATAAATTAGTATTTGTGTATTGTACTCGGTAGCCCAACATGCTTTCTTTCCTACTCTTGTGTTCTCGCTCAAGTGGTCGGGTGGGGGTTAGCACGTAGCACACCGTGTGTCAGTATCAGTATCGGACACCACCTGTCACAACGCTGATTTGAATGAAGATGGTTGACTAGATCGATAAATAACACTTAAAAACATATTAGGCAGTTGGAAGCGGTCGAAAGGCTACTCTGAATTCAGGTATTGTGATATTTGGTATTTGTCAGTAAGGCGTGACCGTAATCTTGAGGGAACTGGTGCTATATATGGCAGGCTTACTATTGTCAGCCTTTTGAACAGTCTATCATGCTACAGCTTAAGCTAATCATGCAGTAACTGACATACTCTGAATGATCGATCCCTATTTTGTGCCAAACATGGAAGTGGTCACTACTCATTGATCAATAAATAGCTACTACTACACTTACGATTCTTTTGGGAGTAAGGAGAAAAGTGAATGTTAAAAGGACAAACCAGTACGAGGAAAGCGTTTTCATACCGTTGCTAGAATGGAGGACCTTCAGCAAGAAAAGCTTAAATTCAAGATTGCAAACAATAAACAGCAAAAACAGAGAGTAGAACACCTCCAACCAAATCAATGGTACATATTGTCTATTTAAGCCACAACCTTTTCGGTAATCTAATATCCAAGCGATAATTCTTTAACATACTCTAACCAGGCAGAATCAAGTCACACGAAAAAGTACATTAAATATTAACAGGGAACTTTACTATTTAGATGATGGATATAAATTTCAGTTAAGCAATAACATTACAAAAACATCGACAAAACTCCCTTCTCCATTATCTTAATCATCATAAAACAAACAAACGTAACTGTTCAATAAATTTTAAGGAAAAAAAATCGACATAAAACCAATTTACTTTGTAACTGAATACGATGTCTTAACTCGGCAATGGCATTCTGTCGTTGTTGCGGCTGTTCATTTAATTCTAGAAATGCTTTTTCTAATGTTTGAGGAGATAATTCTATCATGTTCAAATCTGAACCCATCGTTGATTGAGCGTGAGGAAATACATAATCATTATAGTCAACCGTTTCTAAAACACCCTGAAGCAAAAAAACTCAATGAGAAAATTTAATGACATAAACAGTGTTGTGTTTATTAACGAATATAGATCCCATAAACCTCATGATTGAAGATAACAATGGATCCACAATAATCACTATAAGTCAACATCTTCTAAGCATATGTCAGTCGAGCAAAAGACTAGGAGTTCAAAATCGTCTATAAAATAAACAGAAACTTATTAAAGACGATGACCTTCCGTCTCTGGCACTTACAAAGCCGTCGTCATACATTTAGAGAAAGCAAAACTGTCTTCACGAAAGAAACTTATTTTTAGCCACACAAAACCATTACGTACATCTATCTTTCTCTATGGATTAGCTGTTTCAAGCCCATTGATCTCCGTTTCTATGTTCTTTCTAACTACACTTCATTTCAAACTCAACATTTTGAATAACCATGATACACAATCCTTTTATCGTAATTATTGATTTTTATCTAACTTTTGTGATATTTTGATGAATACCCAAGGCTTTTGAAAATATGTTTTAAGTTCCTAAACAGGTGAAAACTTTGTAAACAATTGTTTATTTTGGTCATTTGTTACTGTTCAGTAAGTTATTCTTATTTTCAACAAAAATATCGGTAACTATTTTTGAGAAAAAGAATATATATATATATTGACAATTTTAAAACACTGAAAGTAAATTCTCCGAAAATAGAACCCTTTATTGTGAGTTGCATTTTCTTATTTTAATCTAATTACTAATCGATCGAAAATAATCATAATGCAACTTTACGATCATTAATATGCTATTTAAAAAATAACTTCATAAAAAGTACTCATAATCATTTTAAATAACAGAGTATAATAAGAAAAATTCACACCTTAATCGGGAATAATTCCTCAAACTTATTTGTCTGAATTTTTGTACTGGGAGAATATCAAAGTTTTGTTATAAGGTTGTATAACTACTTTCAAATAAGAGAGTGTTAATGACCTAACAGGCGATAATGTACAAAGTTATCTACTTCTCTATTTATTTAGCATAAGACTAAGTAATGATTAGCATGAACGTAGATGGAGCATGATATGTAGCCAGTCAGCTGTAACATCGAATAAGGCATAAATATGAATCGGCCAAAGTTAGAACATTTTCTCAGTACACAAAAATGAAATACACAGGATAAATACCATTGTAATACAACTAGTAGTATCGGTGACAAGTAAAAAGACTAGAAGTAAAGAAAATGGTTTAGAAATAAAAAAATAATTCTCGGGGTAAAATTAGTGTGGACCGATTAATGGTGTGAACCAATCAGAATAGAATATATTTGCCCCCGGATGCTCTGGTACGACCAAGGGTGGGGAGAGTCAGCTCTCCCTCTCGAAATGCTTTCATATGACCACGCATATACAAACACTGCCATGGAAGTCCTACTCAATACATTTTCGCTACACCGGTGTTGTTTATGAAATTGACAGGAAGAAAACCGAATGTCCGGTGCTTCAACCGGTTTGGTGGGCACAGAGAGTCCACCAAGGAGAGTTGGACAACCCTGATTCCAAACCAATGGTGCACATGGGCTCCAGGACCCTGAGGGAACAAATAGAGTATGAACCGATTATTGTCAACGGCTACCATGAGACTGCATCTTCTTACATTGCTCCACTTCCTTGTGGATCAAACTTTTAGATGGAAGGCTTCAAGTGCGGTCCCCTAAGAAAACCATCTACTTCGGCTTGGGCACACGGGCAGCATCACAACCCATCCACAAATCAAGTGACTTGTGTGGCACATATGTATCCGGTGGTTATTTGTACCAATATCTATGAGTTCAAATAAATGAATATTATTTTATTATGATCTCTCTTAATATTCCTATGTCTCACTAAGATACAATATATTTCTCCTAACATATTATATGGAGACGTTATGTGTTGTTTAGATTATTGATACAGCCAAACTGCCCTTAGTGAAATTCAGTAAATTATGAAAATTTTCCGACTCTTAAGGCTTCATGTTCACAAAACTCTCATCCTAATCAATGATAGTCAGATGATCTGTAAGCGATGATTATCTATAGGAGGGATTTGTACTATTCATACTCTTTCAAGCAAGAAAAAATAATATATCGCAACAGATATTTGATGTATTCAGCCTTGCATCTTTCTAGTTGATTTTGTAAGATGGTTGGTACATTGTATTATCACAGCAGACGAACGGAGATAGTATAAGGTGTTGGTTGCAGGTAGTCGACAGGAAACCCTGTTTTATTTGGTTGGAGGTAGTCGACCAACCATCTGACATCTTAACGCAGTGCACGTGATATCAAGGCGGGTAGACTAGTGACCGAATTGCAACTTAATGGAAAGAATGTGAACAGCACCAAGAAGGACTGAAAATATATCTCAGTTCTCATACAACTCGAATGATTTGTGTGGCGCATATGTATTCGGTGCCTCTTTGTACCAATATTTATGCGTGTAAACAAATAAATCTTTGCCTACTGTAAATCAACCAGTACCATAATCGGTCTGCCTAATAAGTATGGGGTATTAGGTGTATATGGTAAATCGATTGATGGGATAGTGAATCTTTATCAAGCAAGTGGGTTGGGAAATGTACGACGTAAGCTAGACCGTCTCCTACCTTAACGAGGGATGTTTTCTTGTATGTCAGTAAACTAGAAGAAAACCAGTGGTGCTAAAAACGAAATATGATGCTTTTTAATGAAATCATTAGTAAATTAAGTGATTCGCTTTCGTAGATGCAGACTTTCTGGCTACAGCTCCAGCAATTTCTCTAATCAATATTTAGAGACTTTGGGTGACAAAGGTCAACGTCGATTACAGTGGCAAAGGTGAACCAAACCCTCGTCTTCCCCTAGATTCTAAGTCTTGAAATCTATTTATATCTGTTTTTACTACTTTTTAGACCCAATGTTTCCTATTGAAACTTTTAATACTCTGAGGTTTGTCTTAATAATCTTATGTTAATGTGTTGTGGCAATGTGAACCGATGCACGTGTTGAGTTCTACGTCGCATATGACTGACATTACTGGATCCCGAAAACGTAGAGTAACCATATAAACATTCAGGAAAAATGGTCTAACTTGAACAAATTCCACCACCAACATATAGGTTCGAACCACTTGTCACCTACTTTCAGTACGGCAATCGAGTAATATCAATAGTATTCATGCGAAATATGTAGATTAAAGCCGTATTATTTTCAACTTTTGAGTTACAGTTAAGTGTTAATTGATCGAAATGAATGTCTAGGATTACATAGTGTTGATAAACTATAAAGTTTAAGCTAAAATAAGTTGAATATGTTATGGTTTAAAAATTTACAACGGTTTCAGCCATAAATGAGATGAAATATGGATATATTCGACATGAATAGTATAAAGATGACTGGCTAATTACGAAGATAAGGTATTTTTGAATTGGTGTGCATTTTGTTTATTAACGTATTTCACTTGGATACTACTAACACATATTATTAATGGCATACAGGATTTTATGAACAACGCTCTGAAACACGCATCACCGCAAATATATGATACAATCATACATTTAGTGACTCTCAGCACGAGCGAACAATTTGAAATATCGTAAGCTGTTTAATAATGGTTATCCCAAGTAGCAAATCAAAACATCTGCAGGGAGATTAAAAGATCTATCAACTTACAACCCAGATAGAATTTATAGAAGACATACAGCTTGGAAAATTTACAAAATATGTGGAGGAGGGAAAGAACAAAACAGTAAAAAGTCTTCGGACGTGTATGGCTTAATAGCAAGTTACAAGGATGGTGAGCTAAAACTAAAGCTCAAAAATCTGATGGCCATTTACTTAGAATTAAAAATAATTGAAGACAGATACTTTATTCAGATATATATACAGGGTTTCGAAAGATGTTTGTACATTCGCTACAACAAATATAGTTGAAGTGATGCAGAATCAACACTAAAAGTAAGTCAGTGAAGTCTTGCATTGATGGCATTTAGTTGAAAAACTAATAATTAGAAATCCTTTGTTTAGTTGAATACCCAAAATACAATATCTTGGCCCAGGGTTGATCGATGTAATAGTCAGTATAAAAAGTGACAGCACCTCATAGTATTAGTCTTATTAGCTTAAGACATAACAAACTGTCATGAAATGATAAGACATCAAAGGAATAAAAGACAGACTAGAAACAAAAATCTAAGGTTAAATTAAAAACCAAACAATAGAATAAATAAGAGAATGAAGCGCCGAATCGCTTAACACTGAAAAAAAGATGTGTAATCTGTCTCAGATTTTGTCAAGCGCAACGAAACACTAACGACTAACTCCTAACGTCGAAACCACAACCACAAGAAACCTACTGATACATATTCGCCTGCAGGAATATGATAAAGTTATAGAAAAGCACGGCTCAAACGAAATTTCGCATATATTTACGAAGGAAAAACTATCTCAATCTACCGATCCCAGTTATAATTTATATTATATAACTTGCTAACAAGTACAACCCTACAAATTTAATTGCTTTCCATAGGAATTTTCATCATCACAAATCGATAAAAAAGTGTTGAAAAATAAAAAACCCATAACGTCTTCTGTAAAAATAAGTTTTATTATAGCATCTACAGCCCGTGGCTAGAACTTTCATCGGTTACCTTGCTTTACAATTACGCGCGTTTCTGAGGTCACACAAAATAGTGTGTTAAAACTATGTCATAGTATGAACTTAGTTTAATCGTGCGATATCGGCTGAAAAATGATGGACTATAATTGATGGACGAGTCTGAAAACTTCAAGCTTGCTTAGTGTAATCAGCGAATTAACTGTTCCTTAGTATCTGCATCAAAGTAGTTGGAAGAGGTTCCTTGTTATGAAGCAACTGAAAATCAAAGCAATTTAGCCGATAGTATAAGTGATTGAGAAATAACACTGGAAGTAATCCTCTCTAATACCCGCAGGGTTAATGTGACTCTTGAGCACCAAAGGTGTTCTGTATGGAACGATTGGGAGCCTACTCAATTCGGATGAGAATAGTGTGATCAAACAGCTAACGGCAAAGATACACCTCACGGTTTCCACCCAACGCGGACAATTATTTTGTCGTATTCAGCCACTACGTATACTTTGATCACCCTACAACACAAACAATATTATTTCAGAATCATATTGGCAAGAGTAGGTACAGGGGACAAAGTGCGATCACCACAGAAGAACAGCTACTCCAAAAAGAATTAAATTACAATACAAGCGATGCCTCAAAACTAGCATTCTACGCAGCACTAGAGTCATCACTCAAAACTTCCGGAATAAGTGAGGAAACGCAACAGGAAATAAGACAATCTATAGTACCACTAACTCAACGGATTAAGGGCAACAACCAACTGATGTCACAAGAACAAACAGCGTTGAAGAAACTCAGAACCAGAATAGATATTGTCATCGTTCCAGCAGACAAAGGACGCACCACGGTGATTATGGACAAAGAAGAATACGTCAAGAAAGCCGAGGAAATACTCGAGGACAAAAGTACATACAAACCGATGGACATAAATCCAGTCAAAAAACTAGACAATCGCATTTCAAAAACTTTAAACAAACTCGTCAAAGCAGGAGAAATAACGAAGCAAGATCAATGGAGAATGAATTCTTATGGAGCAGTACTCCCTCGGTTCTACGGCAGACCAAAGATACACAAACCAAATATCCCACTACTTCCAACTGTAGCACTACCAGGGACACCAACGTACAATTTATCAAGAGAAATCTGAAGAATACTGAAACATTTAGTAGATCCGTCGAATCATTCCATCCAATCAGCCACACAATTTTTTGATCAGATTAAGAACATTCAAATCAACGACGACGAACTAATGATATCCTTCGATGAAACGGCACTATTCACTTCAATTGAATCAAACCTAGCAAAAGAAACTCTGTCCTTGCTTCTAACCAACGACGAAAACCTCGCGAAATACATGAAACTTCTAAGTCAGTGTACTGGTGTTTGCGAAGCACTGTTTATGAGTTTCTGGACCACGGAGTAAGCAATACCTGAGTTAAGAATAGAGAAATAAGTAAAGATTGTAAATCGACTGATGAGGTAGTAGATTTTCACCAACTGAGGCGGTACATGAGGCCAGTACATGGCGCGTAATTAATTAATGCGCATTGGTTCTCATTGACCTTGACGAGAATCTGAGAACTGCTTGATATTCTGCAGCACGACTGCCAGGTGACTTGACCGGGGCTTGTCGTTGTTCTTTAAAATCTGACTTATAGTTTCGTTAAATGTCAAGCAATTACGAATGACAATAATAAAACAAACTTAAAACAATTGGTCGCTTTGAGAAATTTTGATAATGTAATGAGAAGATGAAGTTTATCAAATTATGTGATTTGTTTGCGTAATACATTTCGAACAATCTGATCACACATCTACATGTTAAGACTTTTTTATATGAAAATTAAAATGCCAACTAGACAAGTTAAAGATAAGTCGTAACAACGAAAGAAAACATACAAAGTACACAAAAACAATGTGATAACCACGCTGGACAATAAATCAGTATTACCAGAGTAGGATAAGGGTAAGAACAAATCATTTTTGAACGCACAAAAGGGTTTTTAATGTTCGTATAGCCAAGGCTTCAATAAATCTTTGTATACGTTCTTGAAGATTTTTGTTCAGCACTACAAATGCTGACTTAATGTCAACCTTATGACCAATCTCAACTAAATGTTTGACAATCGAGGAAGATGTTTGTCTATCCTGTGAACTTATTTGACCATTGGAATTCAGTTGTTTCAACAGCCACTTGGGTATGTGTTCCGCCACCCTTAGTTGCAGATCACGACTGCTCCTCTCTATGTACGTGTTTCCGCACATACATGTAAATTTATGGGCATAATGGGATGTGGCACAACCGCTTACGAGCTTTTCGGGTTTTTGATGGAACATAGAACTTGACTTTTCAATAATGACAAGTTGAGCTTCATAAAATGTCCTCATGATGGCTAATTTAAGTCTTCATTACAACATTAAACTATTTGAGTCTCCCATAAATGGTAACATAATATAAACTTGCCTTTTGGGTGCGCAAAGCGTCATAGGTCAAAACGTATTGCAACCCTTTCTACGGTTTATGAACTTTAATGAATAACCATTATTCATTAACGTATCAGTCAAGAGCTTCGTCTCTTTTTCAGTAGTATCTCTAGTACAAACACGACTGATTCTATTGAATAAGTCCTTTGTCAATCCACGACTGTAATGAATTGAGCAGTGGCTATAGAAAATTATGATATTGCCCAGTCCATGTCAGCTTTCTATATACACAACCTTGAATGGAACCATCATCCCTCAATTTTCATGTAAAAGTGTCTTAACGAGTATATGTGTTATCAGACTGCTCAAAATGTATTGCGAAAATATATCACATAATTCTGATAAACTTGGTCTTCCCATTGCATTATTGAAATAAAATAAACGTTGACCCTCAGCTTTCCCTTGATGATTCCCTGCTGCTTTTCAATGACATATCTGATACTATAGGTGATAGCACCATCTTATGTGTTTATTTTTGATCGCGGAATTACACCACTTTTGCGTATTCAGTTCCCTCAGAGCCCATGATATATTTCCTCATAGAATTGTATGAACTTGGCGTCAAGACGGACACCAATAATTATCACTAGAATATAAAACCTATTCCCAGTATTTTAGATATGACATGATGTGACTACCTGATCTAAAAAATCTTATGTGGAAGTTACATCATTGCCGACATTGACTCGTTCTAAAGTGACAGCCAGCAATATGAATTTCAGGACCTCTGAAGGACAAACTAGGGATGTGTATAGAATATTGTGTTCGATATGAAAAGGAAGAAGTTACGTAGAGTGATTATACCTGTATGACCAAGCTATGCCATACCGTGTAGGTTTTACGACCCTCATTTCTGACCTCCAAGTGGCAAATGTTGAGTACGAGTCTTCCTATTCATCGTTGATTCGGCTTCAAGGATCGAGTGGTCAAGAATCCCTACCACTAAATACTCCCTCACCAGAACCAACGTGACACTGGTCTGACACACATCCAAGCTTGATCATCGCGCATCGGCGGTTACTACTAGTATATGAAGAATCCTTCGGATATAAACAACCTGAAAGACAGATCAAAAAGAGAGCAGCAACAGTTGATTTAAAAATGCACGGAATAATTTCAAAATATTTGGTTTCATTTCCAAAACACCCAAAATGAGAACTTACTTATACTTTGTTCAAAAGTCAGCCATCTTGAAAAATGATGATGCGAAAACCGTTTGGTATCAAGATATTTCGATGAATAACGTCCAAACATATAACAACAACCAACGGTTAGCAATTTTACATGTGAACATTTCAAGCATTTGATGGTTAGAGTGATAGTGATCGATCAGTGTTTTAGTGATGTCGATATCAGGATTATCTTTGAATTCAGTTGGAATGTTGACTTGTAGTGGTACTCCTTGCTAACCACTCGAACTTTGAAGCTGAGGGTATAATAACTGAAAAACTCTGCTTTCAACAAGTGACGTTAAGAAAAGGTCAACAATGGCGAGCGCAGGAAAAAATGATCGAAGTGGCATGTCTCAGATATGCAGTGCAGTGAAATAATCTTCTTTTAGTACGTGGTTCTGCAGAAATATATTATTCTTATCATTATTGTCAATGTAATAAATTCACTGAATTAGGATGTCATACTGCACTGGTATGGTAACTAAACCATCGAGTAGTTGTTAGACAAACAAGTGTCCAAAATAAAATATCTACTTTAAAACCACCAAGCCTTTAGACAAAGCACATCACTCCTACATTGTAATTAAGCCAAAGATTTCCATTATAGCAGATGCATAAATGGACCTCACTCTTCATAAAGAATCTAACCAGCACAGTGAAAATGGCACAACTCTCTTCCGATCCTCAAAACATTGCCAGTGATATCCCTCAGAGCCCAGCCGTTGAACACCATTGTTCATCATATGTCCTAACAATATATGTAATCGTTTAACACTCGGAAAAATTGTTTACTTGCTAATGTCCCTAAAATCATACATTCGTCCTACTCACATCCCGGTATACACGTCAGCTGTATAATGTAAAGAGATCTGCATATACTCCAAGGCTGGTGTGATACATGGCTTCTCTCATTTATTACCGAAAAATGTGGTCACATTTATTTCAGCACGTTTAAACCGCAGATGAGTGTGTATATTGATGATGCAACGGATGTTCTAGTTTTACAACTAGCTACCAGTAGCACCTTCTATATTCCATCGTTCCCAGTCAGATAGAAATCAGAAGTCAGACGAGAAGAGGCAGGAAAGATATATTTGATTCGTTACCAATATATCGACGATCTTTTCTATGAGCTGGCTAATGAAACGTAGGATCTGTGTCCCACGCCGTGTTGAAACATGATCTTGTGCGGATGCATGACCGAAAGCCTTCAGCTAAACAAGTCCACTTAAATAACGTGGTCAGCATCCAATGTCGAACACTTAATGAGCTATTGATTTTGGGGAATTATTTACAGCTACGGATCACTCCCCCCCCCTAGTGAGGTAGTGATGCCCCTAAGACGTGACCAGCCAGAAGTTTAAACTCAACGAGTTTGTCGTTGGTAAACACTCTTCTGATAGCTTGCTTCGTTTAGCAGCGTCTGGTCGTCTTTCCTTAAACTATGGGACCAAGATGTACAACATAGCAATAAAGAAATATAGTACAATGAAAA